ATATAACTGGGTGCTCTGGAGTTTGGTGCGTATATATTTAAGATAGTTATCTCTTCCTCTTGGAGTTTTCCCCTTACGAGTATGTAGTGACCTTCTTTGTCTTATGGTCATTGTTGGTTTAAAGTTCACGTTGTCTGCAAACAGAATGGCTACTCCTGCCTTTTTTTGGATTCCTGCTGCATGAAGAATTGTTTTTCATCCTTTGACTTTCAGTCTGTGAGTATCTTTCTGGGTTAGATGGGTTTCCTGTAAACAGCATATGGTTGGATTTTGTTTCTTGATCCATTCTGCTAGTCTGTTTCTTTTGATTGGTGCATTGAGACCATTTACATTAATGGTTATTACTGTTAAATGCTGGTTAATTGTAGGAATGTTATCTCTCTGCTGTTGCATCTTTATCTTTCTGTTCTGTTTAATTATTTGCTTTGCTTAGTGCTTTTTTCCTTTGTGTATCTAAACTGTCTTTCAATATTTTTTGCCGGGTTGGTTTGGTGTTCATGAAGTTCTTCAGCTGTTCTTTGTCATGGAAGTATCGTATTGCACCATCTATTTTGAATGATAGTTTTGCAGGATATATCAGTCTTGGTTGGAAATCATTTTGCTTTAGGATCTGGAATACTTCACTCCATGCTCTTCTTGACTTTATCGTTTGTGCTGAGAAGTCTGCTGTGATTCTGATAGGTTTTCCTTTATAAGTGATCTGTCTTTTCTCTCTGACAGCTTTTAATAATCTATTCTTGTGTTGGATTTCTGGGATGGTGATTATTATATGTCTGGGTGTAGTTTTATTTTGGTTATGACTATTTGGAGTTCTATATGCTTCACTGATCCTGATGTCAGTTTCTGATCTCATGCTTGGGAAATTTTCAGCTATTACTTCTCTAAATATCCTCCTGACATCCTTCATGTTGTCTCCCTCTCTTTCATTAATCCCTATCATTCTTACGTTATTCTTCTTTGCATCTTCTTGCAGTTGTTGAATTGTTGTTTCCTGATTCCTTGTTATTTTCAAAAGATCTTTCCTTTCCTGTTCACTAGCTGCAATCCTGTCTTCAAGGTCTGAAATTCTATCTTCACTTTCATTAAGGCGGTTTTTACAACTTTCAGTGGAGTTTTTTATTTCCTGTAAATCTCTGTGCATCTGCATTATGTATTCTGTTTGTTTCTTATATTGCTCGTCTAGGGATTCTATCTTTTTGTTTAGTTCCTCCAATTTTTTATCTGTGTTTTCTTTAGATATATTTAGAATCTCTTTCATTTCTTTTATCATTTCTTCTTTTATCTGGGAGATTATTTCGAGTTTGAATTTCTTTAAAGCTTCCTGGAGTTGCTTGTCAATTTCAGTGGCTATTGTGTCCGATATATGAGGTGGATGGGATATACTTTCTTCTATATACATCGCTCCTAGGGTTTCTTGAGATGGGCTGGAGGTTTGAGGTTGTAATTTGGTCTTTCGTTTTGTCATTTTCCTATATTTCTGTGTTTCAAGTGTTATTTGAAAGCTTCCTCAGGATCTGTTGAAAATCCCCTTCTATGTTTGGAGCTACTGAGACTCTGGCGCCGCGCTACCCCAAGCCATTGGGCCTACAGAACCAGTGGCCCTCCTCTGCCTGCTCAGAACTCCGCAGTTCCAGACAAGCTGGGCCTCAGGGACACTGTGCGCCCACCTGCCCCTTGGAAGCTCCACAGTTCTTCAATCGCAGCCGGGTTAGGGTACTCACCACAGGCCGCAGTGCTTCAGGAACCTGTGGACCCTCCCTGGTTGCAGAGATATCCACAGTCCTCCAGACACATGGAGAGGCCGATGCAGGCACCCCAAATCTGCCCAGCTCCTCCTCTGCAGTCCAATGGCCAGGCGCGGCAGCTAAACAGGCTGGGCTAGGCTGATAATGTGGGCCCGCCCACCCGTCGGTAGCTCAGCAATTCTCCAAGTGTAACCGGAATGGGGAGGCTGATGTGGAAGCCTCAAACCCACCTCTCTCCTTCACTGCACCTGGAAGCCTGAGGGAACTCCAGCAGTCTGGGCGCAGATATCCAGAGTCCTCCAGACACGCAGAGAGGCCGGTGAGGGCACCCCAGATCTGAGTGTGGCTAAGTCTTAATCTATTCAAAATATTTACTTCCCATGGGCATTTTGACTTTAGGAAAAAGCCAGGAGTTGCATGGCACCAGTTCTGATGAATAAGGTAGATGAGGACACAGTGTAATATTTTTACAAGACTGCCTTTCCATTATATAGTCCTTGGCAGCATTGTCCACTGTGCTTCATAGGACACTTGCGGAAGAGGACTTCTAGCACTACTTCAGAAAATGGTAAGAATGATGGGTGAGTGAGTTTGAAGTGAGGAAGAATATTATGAGGGGAGTGAATGGTAGTGCGTCTTTTACTGTAATTTTTTTTTGTTTTTTTTTTTGTTTTTTTTTTTTTTTTTCTTTTTCGTTTTTATCGGTACCAGGGATCGAACTCACGACTGCCTGCTTGCAAGGCAGGCGCTTATGCTGCTGAGCTAAATCCCCAGCCCCTTCTTTTAACTGTAATTTTTAGGAAACATTCATGATCATGCTTTTTGTTTGTTGTTGTTTTGAGACAGAATCTCACTGTGTAGGCCAGGCTGGCCTAGAACTTGTGGCAGTCCTCCTGCCTCAGTCTCCTGAGTGCTGCGATTATGGGCATGCACCATCATGCCTGCCTGGGTCACCGTGTTTTTTGACCACAGCTCATACACAGTCAAGTATCTTTACACAGTCAGCCTACTGGCAAAAGTTTCAAAAATCATACAGACAAAGAAGTGTCCGGTGTGGACAAAGGACAGATACTGCATAATTCCATTGACATAAAGTTACAAACCAGGCAAAACTGATCTGTGTTGCTTAGAAATGGATTAGTTAGTTGGTACAGCCATAAGAAGGAAAGAAAATCATCCGATATGTCAAGATGATAGTTACTCTTAGGGATGAAAGGAATGAGGTTATGGTCTGAGATGTACAAGGAGACTTTTTCCTGGTAATACTCTTTTTCCTTACCTGGATATATTTTCTTGTTATTAGTTACATTTTAAGTATGTATTTATGTACTTTTCTGTATAATTCAAAATAAAAAGAGAATGACCACTTAAGTCAATGTTCATGGGGCAGGTAGTATGATGACTGAGACTTGATCATCCAATTAAGTAAATTGGAAAGCACTTTGACAATAGGGAATGGTCTTTGAGAATGTTTGAAGCCACAACATAACTTTACTCAAGAGAAAATGAGAGAGGAAAAATAAGGGGCCTGCAGTAAACAGAAATCCTGGAGAAATTTCCATGTAAAAAGGAGAACTATAGTGTCAATCAGGGAGCAGATATAGAAAGCTTTACATAAAATATATGTAGTATCAAGTGAATATTAAGATAACTGGAAGCCAGATATGGTAAGATAGGGAAGAACAACACTTTTTATATGTGTGAGTTTACATGGTTTTTGGTGGGAGAAATGAAAATTTGTAGTACTTTGTAAAAGGAGTTAACATTGAAACTTTTTTTTTTTTTGAGCAGTGTCTCTGTGTAGTTTAGGCTGGCCCTGAACACATTGCATAGCCTGGGCTGGCCTTGGACACACTGCATAGCTTGGGCTGGCCTAGAACACACTGCATAGCCTGGGCTGGCCTTGGACACACTGCATAGCCTGGGCTGGGCTTGAACTTGCAGCAATCGTTTTCCCCACCTCTTGGCTGCTAAAATTACAAGTGTGAGTCAGTATGCCTGGCAGAAAGTACTAATTCTTAGACATAAATAAAATTTAAAAATATATGAGTCGTACATTTATATCTATTAATGGAAAGAATCATGAATGTCATCTTGCTCAACACTTTGCAGAGAGAAGGAACCTAGAGAAGTTAAGTGATTCCTTCAAATCATACCATTAATAATAATCTCAGATCATAGCAGTTTCTCTTAGCCCTTAGATCAATGCTCTTTTTATAGTACTATCCATAATATAAATTGAGTTTTATATAGTCATTATATTTTATAATACAGTTTACTTAGATAATATCTCAGCCTTTGTTCCATATAAGACAACCTTAAAATTCAATGGCTTTCCAGACATGGTGGTGCATGCCTGTAATTCCAGCACTTAGTAGGCTGAGGCAGGAGGATTTCCTTGAGTTTGAAACCGGCCTGGGCTTCATAGAGAGTTTAAGACCAGCCCGAACTACATAGTGAGACCCTATCTCTTTATTTTTATTTTTAAAATAAAACACAACAAAACAGAACAAAATAGGACATAAGCAAGCAATGTAAGAGGTACAAATTAAAACACAACAAAAGAGGGTAAAATTAAACACAACAAAACAGAACCGAATAGAACATAAGAAGGCAATGTAAGAGGTATAAATTTCAAAGCTAGATGACCTGAGATCTTCACTATCTGTCATATTGTCTCTTGTTTTCTTTGAAATAGTTGTCCATGTCTTTGCATACAGAGAATTTATACAAAACAACATAGTATAAAGCTGATCTGAACAGAATGAGGAAAGCATTTTAGGTTTTCAAAACCAGACAATAGGAAAGTCACTAATGGCTGTCCTAGAGTCCCTCGTTCTCTTCAAAATAGCTATCCATACTTTCATGTATATTGAAGTACAACAAAATAAAACAAGCTAAAATAACACTACTAATTAGAACAAAGCAAAACAGGGATAAAAGTATTTGCCTTTAAAGAGATGACAGAAGGAAATCTTCATTATTTGCTACATTGCCTATGGTCAGTCTCTCAAAGGATGACCACATCACTTGCTCCCACTTGCTAAACTGCGGCGGGTGGTGGTAGGTGAGGGGTGTGATGTTTGATTTTCAGCCCAAGCACTAGCAGGCTCACAGCCACTCACCAGCAGGGGAGTGGCCAGCTTGGTTTCCCTGCACTCCAGGTCCCAGCATGGCGCAAGTCCAGTAAACACCCGATGCTCCCATCCTGGGCCACCCTGCTTTCCACGCTCACAGCCTAAGTCTTCTACTCACTGTGGGTAGGGATTGATTGGTTTCCTGGTGCACCAGATCCCAGCATGGCGTGGGTCCCATTAAACGCTGGTGGCTCCCTTTCTGGGCCACCGAAGCCTGCCATGCTCACAGCTGTTCACCATGGGGGAAGGGGTTGCTTGGTTTCCCAGCGCTCCAGGATACAGCATGATGTGGGTCCCAGTAAACTCCTGGTGGCTCCTGTCCTGGGCCACTGCAACCTGCCACGCTCATGGAGGGGTGGGGAGATTGATTCAAGCCGTTTCTTTCTAATGAATTGACCATTTCACTGCCCAAGTTCTGAAACGTCCAACAGGCCATAGGAAGACATCTCTTTAGGCTCCTGCTTGAAACCAACAGCATCAGGAAGCTGCCAGCCTTGATTCAGGTCCAGGAGACCCTATCTCAAAACAAACAAACAATCAGTGGCTTAAAAGTACTCATTATTTGTCATTTCTCATGAGTCCATGAGTTGACTGGGCTCAGTTAGGAGCACTCCTGTGGCTATAGTCATTGGCTTCTTAGATAGAGCTGGAGCCTCATTCATGTGCCTGACATCATAAAGCACATTAATTGTTCATTACCTAGCCTGTATTTCCTTGCATTGTGGTGAGAACATTCCAGGAGGATGAAGATGGAAACCTTAGATGCCTAAACTCACACAATAGCATGTTCTTCATTAAGTTAATCAGAGTCAGTCATAATCTAATTGAGACTTAGAAATCAGGCAGCAGGTCCTACCTTTTAATGGGAATAGGGATGAAATGTTATGGCCATCCTTTCACCAGCTACCATAGGCAATTGCAAATTATAATTTCAGCCACAGAATGTATTTACTGAAGTTAATTTTTACATAATGTGAAGCTACAATCTGTTAGGTTAGGCAATTAAACAATGTAGTTTGGTTGCCATAAGAGAAACACAAAAAATTGGAAACAAAATAGCATACTAATAAAAGTCAGTTTTGCATCTTTTGTATCCTTTTTCATGTAAAATAGATTTTTTAAAGCTCATTTTAGAACAAACTGGGTTATAAAATGAGTGAGAAAATTCAATAAAGACTTGTATAGATTGTTGGCTTAATCATTATTCTTTCAAATCACAATCATTAATGTATTATCATCATCTTTGTGCACCTTACCCACATGCTATAGAATATAATAGAATGTAATGCAACTAAAAAACAGAAGCAATTAAGAGATTCTCATGAGTTAATGTATAATGAAAATTGATATTATATTGCTGAGACTGTGCTAATTCATTTAAAAATTCACTTGATAGTTATGTGTATTGAGTACTTGTCAGATCTTTGCAGCGTGCAAATGAGAAAAAGGTAAGCTTCTCTCAAGAAACTTTCTAAGCCAACACCTGCAGGATTAAGTAGGAGTTAGTCAGAATGGGAAAGAAAGTCTTCTGGGAAAACCTAAGTCTTCTAGGAAAATGACAAAGTATTCACTTATTGGAGATTAGGAGTATAAAGAACAGTAAAAGAATTGAGAAACCTCTGTTACGGCTAAATCTGGAAATATGAAAAGGGTGAGGCAAGAAAGACCCTAGTAGGGCTGCCGTGGGCTATCTTGCTAAGAACCTTGTAAATGTGGTGGTGTGGAGTCTGGACGTTTTGCCAGATATCTTAGGAAGCTCTTAAGGAGTTTAGAGAGAAATTTGGATGTTTTTTATCAGAATGTTGTGTTAGAAAAGTAGCCAGTCACTGTTTGGTGGGAGGTGTAGCTGGGGAGAGGGAAGTGTGGGGTCCAACAAGTGCCAGCCTTAGGTAACAGTATGAATTGGGTGAGAATAACAGAAAGTATTTCAAAGTAGAATCAGCCAGATTTGGTGGCTGGATGTGAAGTAAAAGGAGGGAGCTCAAGGTGACAGACTGACTCTCAGCTTAGGGACCTATGTGGGGAACCCGTCTGGGAAGTGGCCTTGCACAGGACTTGCTGTTCTGTCTCAGACTCTATTCCCAGCTAAGAACCTGTACCCTTTTTATACTGTGCGGTATTTGAAATGACATTGCTAATGTCAGTTCATAACAGTGATTGATTCTTATTTGGTAAAATTCAGTGAAATGTAGCAATATTGCCACAACCTAAATTAGTACCTTGAACTAGAAAGATTTTACTTCAGTATGGATTCCTTTATATAAGAGAAATTTAGTGATATGTTACCATGGTTTTATATAACTTTATTTACTGTTTAGGTTTTTGTAATTGTTTGAAGACATTAATATCTAAAAAGTACTATGTGATGTCTTAAAACTTTTATTCATTAGTGTGAAATGACTTCATCATTAACATTTGTCCAAGTTTTAAAATAAATTTCACTAAAAAAAACTTATACAGTTTTTTTCCATCAAAAGATGAATGGATAAAGAAAGTGTGGTATTCATACACAATGGTGTACTACTGTGCCATAAAGTAGGATAAATGAGTCATTTGTAGGAAAATGGATGCATTTTGAGACCAGAAGTTATATGAAATAGACACATAAGCCATATACCACATGATTTCTCTTATATGAGAAACTCCAAAGACGACCAAAATAAAAGTAATAGGCTGATAGATCTTTCACAAAAGGAAGGGGACAAAGAGATGGAGGGGGTGTAAAAAAATTAAGATGCATTTTGTGTGTGTGTGTGTGTGTGTGTGTGTGTGTGTGTGTGTGTGTGACTCCTGACAGTGAATGTAGTTATTATAAACTACAAACATGTCTTAACAAAAATAAGTATAAAAATTAAGTTAAATAATAAAAATTGTTTCTCAATCTTCTTTCATGACTTCAGTAAATAGAATATAATTTTGCCTTTAAAGAAAAATATATACAGAATAATTATTTAAAAATGAAACCTAAGACTGAGAATGTAGGTAAGTGTTTGCCTAGCATGTATAAAGCACTGGGTTCAGTCCCACTAAAACAAGTCTGTCTTCTGTCTTTCAAAATGCATACATGGAGTTGGGGATTTAGCTCAGTGGCATAAGTGCCTGCCTGGCAAGCACAAGGTCATGAGTTCAATCTCTGGTTTAAAAAAAAAAAAAAAAAGCATATAGATGTCAGCAAATCAAATTGAGCACCAAAAATATATACAATTTTTCATCAGTTATGCCATAATAAAGTTGTAAGGAAAAACTGAAGTTTCTTATTGGTAGATTTAATTCTCTGTCTTGCTGTTAAATAAGGATAATTACGGTTTAAAAAGAATTAAGTATTAAATCTTGGGAAATTGGGCTTTTTATCAGTAAAATTATTTCAGGATTTTTGTAATTTTGTAATTCATGGCTATCTGTAGATTTTATTCAAATATATTTACTTGTTCTACATTTATTACCCTACTTTCAGATACTAATGTTAAATTGCCTAAATTTTCATTCTAGCAATAGTCAATAGTCTGTATCTCCCGTGTATTCTGTATAGACTGGATTTTCTATATTCTGAATATTTTGTAAGTTCAAAAGCACTTTACAACATTTTTTTTCTTTTTTCCTCAGGCACTACAAGGGCCCCCAGGGAAGGGGAAGTTCCAGGGGTGGACTATAATTTCATTTCTGTTGAACAATTCAAAGCACTGGAAGAGAGTGGAGCACTATTAGAAAGTGGAACTTACGATGGTATGTCCCCAAATATTAACCATATCCTGAACACTATTCAGATTACTGAAATTATTGCAGATGGAATTTGATGAGGAAAACACTATTTTTTAAAGAATTCTTAAAGTTTTTTTTAATTAGGAGATTTCTAACTTGGCATTAAATCATAGCTCAAATTTCATCAAACCTTACAAGGTTGATTGTCAATAATATACTAAAAATCCAACTAGTTAGTTTATGTATTTCATTATGATTCATATTCAGCATCAGAACTCAACAAGTTTTTGTTGATTGCTTTTTGTTTGTGGTTGGGAATCCAAAATCTGTACATGTTTAAAAACCTGTGTGTACTTTGTTTTGGAGAAAAGAAAATACAGGTTAGAGGAAAAGGACAACACAAAAATAGAATAATTGGTTTTCTTTTCATTTCTCTGTTTTTTCTATCTACTTGATTACAAAAAATACAAATTCAAGATCAATTTCAATTCTTAAGTGACTCTTATGTGAGATCTGTTTCTTTTCCTTATCTAATATGCTTTTTACTGGCAAGTTTATCCACTCCCATAGCACTCTGTACTTTTCCATCATTGCTTTATCATCTTGTTAGAATTGTCCATTTTACAGGCTCTGTGATAGTGGTGATCATGTCTTTCATGTTTTTAGCTTATATGCTGCTGAAGTCAGCATGGTCATATCTTTCTTATTTGATTTTATCTTCAGTGCCTAGAGATAGTGTTCAATAAATATCTAACCTTGAATTCCACATATCCACATAAGTATGTTCTTTCCATAAGAGTAATTCTTTGTAATTTCTCTCTGTAGCAACACCACAAGCTCAAAACAATGGAATCATCATAAATTCCTCCTTGCTTTTCTTTCACTTAAGAGTCAGCTGCTAGATCTAGCCATTGCTTCATCTATAGCTTCTTCCACATTGCTTTCCTTTTCACTTGCACTATTTAGTTATAGGCCCACCAGACAAGCTCAAGTGTGGACTACTGCAGTTGATTTCTTTTGTTCAGCTTCTTTCCTCTGTCCTGTCCATCCGGCCAAATGCTGGTCTTGCTCATGCACAGTTTGGATCATATCCCTCTCATATTCAGAGCTTTCAGTCATTTCCTTTTGTCTGCTAGGCTTGACCAAATTACCTCTCCTGGGTTTAGCACCCATGACTCATTTATTCATTCATACATCAATTTATTTTGTCCAATTTATTGATTTTATAAGCAACTCTATGCTAAGCAATGTAGGGGAATGTACAGATACTGTGATGAATAAGGTTAAACACTACTGCCTTAATGAAGCCTTTATCTTAGTAGTGAAGACATTCAAAAACAAAACTGGAAACTGAGATATTACAAAGGAACAAAAACAAGGGATGAAAGACAGTAATAGGAATATCTTCTTTATACAGACTGCCAGAAAAGACTTCTCAGAGGAAAGAACACCTACTTACTTGTTTTGATGTTTGTGCAAATAGCCTTCTTCTTACTGTGAACCATTCAGATGTATTTAATATGTTTGCATGTTTTTGTTTATAGGTATTCTTATAAAAGGTATTTTGTCTTGTGTGCATATTTATTATTTACATCTGAACTACATTGTATATATCATTCAGTTTTTCATTGATTTTACTCACTTTTTAATTTGGTCATGCTGCTGTAGTTTACTTATATTGAACACTTGGCGTTAAATTGCTGAATAGCGCTGCACAGTTGAAATCCATTTGTATTTGCATTTAACCAAACTGTTAAACTGGCAATGATCTTTCCTCTGACTTTCCATCACTGTACGTAAAGGTGCAATAAGCACTGTCACATACGTTCTTACAGATCTGTGTAAGACTGTCTGTTGGAATATGTATCCAAGATCAGAACCATTAACCAGTGGAGTAGATATATACTGAGTCTAATGAAGTAGACTTCCTCTTGGCACAAGAAAGTTCCTCTAGCAGCTGTGGCAATTGTGCTGCTTTCCCATCAATATTTGGCATTATCCAAATTCATGGTTTTGCCAATCTAATGGTTATAGAGGTGGTATCATAAGTTTAAATTCTCTGGTAGTTTGATACTTGTTAGTCTTTTGGATTTCTGTAAATATGCTTTCCAGAATATGCTTTTTCTGCATTCATATGCTTTGTTCTTTTTAATAGCAGGATCTCAATCTCTTGGTTTGTAGAGTTTCCTTACATATCTAATCATTTATGGATACAGATATTTTCTGTATTCTGTCACCTATTAACCTTGTCCTATATTTCTTCATTAAACAGAAATTCTTTTATAAGTTTTATCACTTTTCCTTATGATTTATGATTTTGTCTACAGTGTTCTGCCCTTAAATCAGAGATATTCTCCTACATTTTCTTTCATAAAGTGTAAGATTAGATATGTGACAAAATAGCGTATCACATATTGTCACTTACTGTGCACCAAAGAAATGAGAGTAAAAACAGCAGTCATACATCATTTCATACCCATTAGATTAGCAAAAGTTTTGAAAAATTTTAATTGCAGGAAATGGAAACTCCCATATACTCATGGAGAGAATATAAAATGTACCATCCCTTTTGAGAGCATTTTGACAATAGCTAATAAATTACTCAACCCTACAAGTTCCCTGTCTATATAGCTATTAAAGAGAAACTATTGCCCATGTGCGTGTGTAGACAAGTACTTGAATATCCATTGTAGTACTGTTGGAAATAGTTGCAGAATGTAAACAGCTCTCTTTTAAATGGAGAATGCATAAAGTGCATTCTATTTTATTCATAAAAATGGGCTGATACATGTATAAAAGTTTAATGAAATACTATATATTACATGAATATGTCTTAGAAGTACAGTTGTGTAAAAATTTGCAAAAGGTACATGCAGAGTTCTGTACCATTTATGAAAAAGTGTATGAAACATGAAAACACTTGCTGAAAGCAGTAATGTTCTAAGTATGTTTCTGTATTATGGTCTGTGGATTTAGCTCAGTGGCTCAAGCACTTGCCTGGTAAGTGCAAGGTTGTGAGTTTGATCCCCTGTACCAGAACAAAAGAATGTATGTATTATGGGTTCTTACATGGTATGTCCTAAATGTATATATTATTTGGGGAAATGCTAGGTACCAACTTTAGAACAGCTCAGGGAGAACATGAGAAGGACGAGTCAGAAAGTTAGGACTTTAATTTTGTATATGACTATATATGTTTTGAAAGAGGAAAAAGGAAAAAATTCAAAGAAATTTGATAGTAATTAATATCTGGAGGTAGTATGTAAATAAGTACAAATATACATGTATTTATATAAGCACATATAAATAGGTATTCCTGGAATTTTATCTGTATTTGAAATGTTTAGTTATTGTTACTTTTTCAAAAATGAAAAACCCTTTAGAAGACAAGACTCCAAGAACCGAGAATATAGCTCAGCAGCACAAACACCTGGCAAGCACAGGTCCCGAATTTGATTTCCAGCAGCAAAAAAAAAAAAAAAAGGCTGCAGAATAGCTCTAAACAGATCACAAATCTTTTTTTTCATTAGTAATTATAGTTGAGATTATTTACTCTTAGAATTTTATAGCTTTCTATGTCTGAAATACCAACAACTGAAAAAAAGAGACCAAATTTATGAGCAATGCTAATTTTCTTTTTAAACCTAAGCCAAATCATTATATTTTTAAACAAAGAAACTACCAAAATTTATTATGAAATCCTACAATCTTTCCAGTGATTATGAGTAGCAATTATAATACACTGAATTTTTCTAAATTTTCTTCTTAGGAAAAAGATAAACCTTTCAGAATTAGACCATACTTACTAAGAATTTACAGTAAAATGTGATTCTAGTAATACTGCCACTGTACTTAGAAAGGCTTTTTATTTTTACCTTGGAAAGGTCAGATTCCTTAGTACTGTGATTATTGGGCATAATGCAGGAAAAGTGACATTTTATTTCCCAATATCATTTCTGTTTTTTCCATGCCCTTTGCCGAAAGAAATGTGAACTGACTTTTTTGGTTATTTGCTTTACTTATGGGCCAGCACATCTATAAAAAAACAAGTCAGTTTTAATACAGTCTTTGCATCTGCCTCTGTAACATGAGTAACCCATTTCAAATGTGATTTTTGTTTTCTATCTGGGGGAAAATATCCAGTTTCATTAACTTACATTGAACATCTTAATTACATCCTTAGGGGCCAAAGAAATTGATAAGTAGGTGTGATTTTTAAAAAATTATTTTATTTTCTAGCTATATTTATCTTTAACAGTTAGCATAATGATCAATGCAAGATCGAAACTAGTAAAAGTCACAAACTGGTTTTTTTGTTAGTTTGTTTGTTTTGTTTTTTTGTCTTTCTCTTTTTTATCGGTACCGGGGATCAAACTCACGACTACCTGCTTGCAAGGCAGGGGCTTATGCCGCTGAGCTAAATCCCCAGCCCCCAAAGCCACAAACTGTTAATGTAGCTACACTCATCGAATGCTTTCACATTGTGTTGACTGTATGACCAATTCAGAAGATATTAGTTGTTTTAATTCTGGAACATTTGTTTTTACTGCAAAAATTACTGATCCTCAAGAAAAGATTACTTTCTTGCTTTCATGAGAGAAAGCTCATACTGAATTAGGCTTATTATGTGTCTGTTGAGTAAACTGTCAGATAATGTAATTAGAATGTCCAAAAAAACTTTTTAAAATTACATACAGCCTACATTTCTACAAAACTGTATTAGTTTTTAGCTTTATCATTGGCCACATTTTTTAAAGTTTATCAAATTAGTTCATTATATACATTAGAAGAAATTATTTGAGTTAGCTTCATCATCCTTTATTCCCACTTTTTATGCCAGTTAATCTCATAGGAAAACATTAATCCTTTTAAATTCACAAGTTAGACCCTAATTTAGAAACCATGTACAACAAACCATGTAAATAATCAACTTCCTAGCCATGGTGCAAATAGTATTAAAATGATGAATTTTACTTATATGAAGAGCACATGAGAAATTAGTTGTTTCTCATACTGCTTCTTCTTCCTCTCCTGATAGTGTTTGCACTCCTTTGGGTCAGTGGCAGACATTCAGATACTCAAACCTTTTGGTGTAAAAAGCAAAGCAAAACTAGGGGTTTAGCTCATGGGCATAAGCACCTGCCTGGCAAGTACCAGGTCATGAGTTCGATCCCTGGTACTGCAAAAAAAAAAAAAAGCAAAGCAGAGACATATGCTAGGTCATGTTGTTCAGACATATCCTGGGTCATGTCAGCCTTAGGGTTGTGCTGTTATTTTGTCCACCTTAGGAAACTTCTATGGAACTCCTAAACCCCCAGCAGAACCCAGCCCTTTTCAGCCAGATCCAGTTGATCAGGTCCTCTTTGATAATGAGTTTGACACAGAATCCCAAAGAAAACGAACTACATCTGTCAGCAAGATGGAAAGGATGGACAGCTCTCTACCTGAGGAAGAAGAAGATGAGGACAAGGAAGCCATCAATGGCAGTGGAAACACAGGTTTGTAAACAGATGAATGACTTCTAACAGATACTCTAGGCTGACTTTCCAGTGACATTGAATTGAAAATAGTAAAATGCTCATAGAACATGTGGAGAACAAATGATAAGATCCTTTGTTTTGAAAAGATTGTTTATGGAACAATATAAACCTCTATTGACCCTTTGTAAACTAAAATGAATTGTTTCCATTTCAATTAATTAATCAGAAGTCATTAGTAAATAAATAATAGCCATAACCTTGTTGCTTCAAGTATTTTAGATTAATTACTGATGGCCTAAACCTAACTTTACAGGATAAAAATAAAATGTAGATGTTTTATAATGTAGCCTTCAGCCCAAAGAAAGTGCTTAAACTTTAGAAATTTTCTAATAAGAGTCATTTGTTACTAATATTTTTAATTCAAATTCTGAATCTACTCAAAGAAAAGTTCCAAATGTGACTTGTATTTTTGTTTTGTTTGACTTTAATATTTTTCATCAAGTGAAAAGTCAGAAGCAAGGAAGAGGAATTTACTCCATTTAAGTATCCCTGACTAATTAGTGATTGCGTAGGCAACTCTGATGCTCACAACCAAGAGAATGACTGTAAAACCTCAGAATGACAGCCAGACATATTTCACTGCTGTTTATTGTGATAACACCATTCAGAACAGTAGAACATAAACTTCTTAATTGTTGGGATTTTTTTTCACTTGTTTTGTTCCTTTTTGTATTCCTCGTACCAAAAACAGTGCCTGGAACACAGTAGGAACTACAAAAATATTTATCATGTCTCCAGATTTTCAGAATCCATCTCCATATCACTTTCCTAAAGCACTTTGAATTTTTCTTTCATTAGTTACTAAAATGTGCCATGGCCTGGTTTACTGACACACACTTGTAATCTTAGCATTTGGGAGACTGAAGCAGGAGGATCATGAATTCAAAGCCAGCCTAGGCTATATAGTAAGTCCCCTACCTCAAAAGAACAACAAAAATAACATAAAATTGCTTCATGTAGTATATTTGTTGTTTCGATATATTAATTATTTCTTCCCTCCAGATTGTGTTTCCATTTTATTGTCCTCACTTCTCAAATACTTGTGTTTAATGTTAAATGAATTACTCCATGTGTTTGAGTATAAAGAATAAAAATAGGTTTAGAAAGATTTAATTAAGTCGTACTTTTTAATTCTTCACCTAATTCTTCAGTAGTTATTAAAGGGAAATCGTATTATGAAACCTTTCAATGTTGATGTCAGCTTTTACTGTGGCACAAAATTAAATCTACTTATATTTATAAATGCCAAACACTAGGATTGGAGAACATAAATCTGTCCCAATGTGGGAATTTTTCGTTCTTGATTTGAGAGGGAAAAATGTGCTCGTTTTTCATCACCTAATGAAGAGCCCTGCAGTGATCACTGTGATTCTTTTAGAGGTATACCTGTCTGTGATCTCCATAGTTTATGCTGGTCATATAGGCCAGTTGGTAAGCCAGATGTTTAACTCTTCAATGTTAGTATTTCAAGGAAGTGTATCCAAGAGTGTGTATCTACATATTACCTCTTATGTGTAGATATCATAGGAAACTGACATTTGATTATACATTTCTTTGTAAGAGAAAATAGTAGGATGCTTAAATGAAAAAAAAAAAAAAAACCTTAGCGAAACATCTGGCTAAAACTCTTCATCTTTCCTGAGTAAGTACTGAGTGTTATTAACTTACTCATACCTGGAAGAAATGTGTATTTTGTGTGTTTGTTTTTAGGTATAATCCTGCCTTGAAAAATCAAAAGTTATAATGGATGTAGAGAGAGGTGAAGTAGGAGTTTATTTGTATACACTAATATGTATGTTGTTTTATATCTTGCTAAAGAATTAACTCAAAAGAATGCTAATATGCACACATAGGATGAAGTAAGTTATGCAGTAATGTCAAAATATTTTTCCCAGTGAGGTATAACATAAAAAGCACCTTCGCAAGTAATTGGCTTTTAAAGAAGAGTTTTTAATCAGTCACCTGGAACAACATTAAGTAAAGTATATAGTTGCTGTTAATTTGTTTTCTTGCATAGAAAATAGATCATGTTTCATTTACTCATTGAAGAAATGATTATTGAACACCTGCTAGACTAAGTGCTAGCTATTTGTTCTAAGTGCTGGGACTAAAGCAATGAACAAAACTGACTAAAAACAAAAAACTCAAAATAGCTCTGTCCTCATGGACTGTACCTTCTGATGGGAAGATTGGAACTGGCCAAGATGAATGAATAGCAAATACAGTGTATTAGATGGTGCCAGCAAGAAAAATACATCAGGGAGAGGTGGATAGGAAGATAAAGGCTTTTAATTTTAGATAGGAGGACAGAAAGACTTGAAGGAAGGAAGTAAATTCAAATAGTTGCTGGAAGAGCATTCTGACACAGGCAATTAGGGGCACAAATGAGGGGAAAGCTTGCCTATAATATACTACAACAAGGAAACCAGCATGGACAGATAAAATGTGGACGGCATCCTCTGTGTTGGTGGGACAGAATGATGGGAGCAGGAGAGTAGACTAGAATAGTAACCAATGACCTTCACAAAGTGTTGCATACCTGTAATCCCACCGTCCTGGGAGGTTGAGGCCGGAGGAGCACCAGTTCAAACTCACCTGTGCAATTTAGCAATCAGTGAAGTGGTCAGATAGTGATGGGGAGGGAATGTGTATTTTATAGGAAAGATTTGGAGTTTAACTGAGAAACTATGATGGGGTTTTGAGTAAAATACTATATAATGAAGTTGGGTGTGGTGGTACGCCTGTTATTCCTGCACTTGGGAGGCTGAGGCAAGAGGATTGTTGCAAATTCGAGACCAACCTGGGCTACATAGTGAGTTCAAGGCCAGTCTGCACTACAAAGCAAAAATAAAATGGTAGAGGGAGAATAAACAGATTTTTAAAAATTAATTTTATTGGTATATTTTAAATATATGTAATGATCACATTAGTCAGAGAATTTGTACCTGTAGATACTATGACTTGCTTCTTTTTTTCCTAGTTCCCTCCTTTCCCTTCAACCCCTTTTCCCTTCCTTATTTATAAAAACTTCCTTTCCATCTTTTTTACTTCTGTTTTTCTCTCGCTCACCCTAGTTTTTCACCTTCCCATTTGGACATTTTCTTCCTATTTTCCAACAGCTGTTACACAGTTTGGTCCTATTTATTCTTTCAGTTTCTCAAACCAGAGAAACAATGCAATATTTACAAATGTGTGTCTGATTTATTTCACTTAAGAATATGGTCTCAAAGTGCATCCATCTACCTAGAAATATCTCAAGTTTATCTATCTTTATGGCCAAGTGCCTAAAAAAAGCCACATCTTCCTTATCCATTCATTGATTGATGGGCAAAATTTAAGTTAAAAACTATGCTACTATAAACATGGTTATATATATACTGCTGTTTGATAATTTTAATTCTTTTGAGAATATACCAAGAAAGGGACTAGCTGGGTCAAATGGAACCTCTAGTTCTAGTTTTTTGAGGTGTCTTCACACTGATCGCCAGAGTAGTTGCACCTGTCTACACTTCCACCAGTTGTGGGAAGAGGTTCTTTTTCCCTATTCCCCAGCATTTGTTATTGGTTGATTTCTTGATAGTAGCCATTCTTTTTGGGGTGAGATGAAGTCTCAATGTCATACAGTGGGTTTTCACAGACTCATTCTGGCTGCTGTATGAGAATAGGTAAGAACGGTTTTATTAATGGAAGTTCAAAGCTGTGACAGCTTGAGGTCAAGAGAGAACCACACCAGGGAAAGTGGAAGTAACAGGCATAAACCCTCTCCAGGTGGTTGGTTATAAAGAGGAGAGAAATAGGATGGTTGCTAGATGGGAAAGAATAATTTTCTTTTTAAATACTGGAGAAACAGCCTTTTACATGAATGGAGATGATCTAGTAAGTAAGTAGGAGTAGTGGTGTAGGCAGGAGACACAAGGTCAGGGAATCCAGTTTATTACTGGCAAACAGGCTTTAGCTGGGAGCACAGATGTTACTGGGACCCTAGATGGTGGAATAAATGGCTAATGATGGCTGTATAGATGAGCTTGGAAAAGTACTCCTCTGCTTGGCTCTGCTTGGCTCTGCCTGACTCTTTTCCCAGTGAAATAGGAAACAGGATCATCAAATGAGACTAAGGAAAAGGCAATGTAGTTTTCCTCCCTAATGTGCAGTATTGCTTTCCACAGACAGCCTGAGTTACCTACAACCAACCACAGTCTGAGAATATTACTGCATAATGTTTTCAAGGACAGCCTAGATTTGCATAACTTATTACAGTATATTGTTAATATTGCATTCTATTTTTAGTAATTACTGTTATTCTTCTCTCTTTCTGTGCCTCTTTATAAATGGAACTTTATCACAGGAAAAGAAAAAGTACAGTGTATTTAAAATTCAGTACCATCTGGTTTCAGGTGGGTCTTGGAACATACATCCAGATGCATAGAGGTAGGGAGAACTACTGTAGATGATTTAAGGAGAATGAAGGTATAAAATAGTTATCCAGGAGAATGTCAGAGTGAATGGTCTAAAGAATGTGTTTGTCATGCATCATTAAATGCCCACTGAGGTTAGTGATCATGAATATAAAGTCAAGTAGTGCACTAGTTAGCACTTCCTGTGTTCAGTTGTGTGTGCTGGCACGGTTTAGGTGGACAGGACAGTTAAGCAATTCTGATTTAGCCAGACACAGGTAACAGTATTACATTGGGGTGAAGGATTCATGAGGAGTAATTAGCACGATTGATCATGGAATTGAAGTTTGGTGAGGGGAGCAATGGGAGCAGGGACTGAGGGTGAAAGGTAAAAGTAAGTAGTAAGATTAATGTATTGTATGACTTTATTGGATAAAAAAATGGTTAAAGTTGAAATATTGCAAGGATATTGAAGGCCTTTCCTCAGATGCTCTGATTCTGAGGCATTGTCTGCAGTTTAGAGTTGTTACAGTGATGTTATGTAGCATCTTTAAAATTTTAGAAATAGGGGCTGGGGATTTAGCTCAGTGGCATACGCGCCTGCCTTGCAAGCAGGCAGTCATGAGTTCAATCCCTGGTACCGATAAAAAAGAAAAAGACCCCCCCCCCAAAAAAATTTTAGAAATAAGTTGTAATTGCATGAATTGTCGACTCCTTTGAGAGTAACCAATTTTAATATACATACCTACCTTATAGAACTTGGGACTCTAAAAAGAATTTAATATTACTACAGAATATTATTTAACAAGAGGAAATAATACTCTGAGTGTTGAGTATTTTTTTAAAAGGTATTATTTAAAAGCCTGTTAAAATGTATGAAGCAGTTTGGTATAGTAGTTAAGGCTGTGAACCACTTACATTCAAATCTTGGCTTTGCTATTTAATGGCTCTGTAATTTTGACTGAGTCAACCTTTCTGTACCTTACTTTTCTTGATCTGTTAAACAAGAATTATAGTAGATGTAGGGTTGCTATGATGATTGTGAATGAATAAGCATTAAGCATTTAAAATAGAGTTCAACATATAGAAGAACTATATAAATGCTATGTTGTTAGAATTCATGCTGAATTAGTTGTAGTGTTGGTTTTTTTGTTTTGTTTTATGCTTGTCTGTTTGTTTGTGGTACTGGGGATTGAACTCAGGTCCTCACTCATACTAAGCAAGCATTCTACCACTGAGATACATCCTTAGCCCTTTTTAATTGTTTATTTTAAGGCAAGCTCTTGCTAAATTGCCTACACTGTCCTCAAACTGGGATCCCCCTGAATAAATGAGATTATAGGTGTGTGCCACAACACCTGGCCTGTTATTGCTTTCCCATATTAGCATCAAAAGTGTTACGCTATGCAGGGCAAATATCAATGAAAAATTGAAAGAATTGAGTATGTTTGTTATTTTAAGTGCAGAGCATGGGTATCTTAGACAAGGAGATTTATAGTGCATAATTGTAAATATATAATTATAAATAATATGTGTGTATATATTTATAAATAATGTTTAGCACTGTGTTAGAAATGAACAAACCTGTTGAAAGAAGACAGAAACTTCAACTTTTCACCTTGTTCTGTTTTGAACAATGGCAGAAAACAGAGAGAGGCATTCTGAGTCATCTGACTGGATGAAGACTGTTCCAAGTTATAACCAAACAAATAGCTCCATGGACTTTAGGAATTATATGATGAGAAATGAAAATTTGGAACCATTGCCCAAAAACTGGGAGATGGCCTACACTGACACAGGAATGATCTACTTCATTGAGTAAGCAAATACTGTCTCTTCTATCATGCCCTGTCATTGTGAGGATACGCTTTAATCTCATTTGGAAAGTGTCTGTTTCACTATTTCCCAAGACTTTCTTTTTCTTTCTTTAAAAAGTTTTTTATACAAGTAATAGTTGATTCTTAATCTGAATATTTCCCTAGATGGCATTTCATTTTATTAGACTTGGATAAAGGAATGGTATATTTGACTTCTGGTTTTACAATAGAAGGAATAAAAATAGGTTCATTACTAATGAAAAATGTGAAGTATAAAGGGCATTTTACTTTGCTTTTAAAAACAATTTTAGGTAGATTGTTCAACTTTATGAATATTTCAAGAATAATTATGGGGGAAAGCATATTACTCAACTAAGTATTTTTAGTCCTAGAGTTTGAGTGTGATGTATTCAGACAATAAGTTAACTATTATAGGATGTCAATATCACTGATCATTAGAATCATTGATTCAATATAAAGACCAATATTGTTGAAAAGCAATATAATATTTAGGGATATTGACTGCCACATGATTTGATCAACTTTAAATTAAGTGTTATGTGTACCAAAGAATGACATTATGTAAATAATTTATTGGAAGTTTCATTATGAATAATTTTTATATTCTCACTTAGCTATAATTCTCATCTGTAGTTTGCCGAAAGATAGAATAGTGATGTCTGTACAGTTATAGAATACGACAGTTAAGTAACAATTAAAATACTGAGAAGCCAAGTGTGGTAATACATGCCTGTTATCCTAGCACTCTAAGAGGCTAGGGCAAGAAAATTACCAGTTCAAGCCCAGACTAGTTAACTTAGTGACCTAACAAGACCTGGTCTCAAAAAATGAAGACTGCGGATATAATTCAGTATGAAGGTCTAGGTTTAATTCCTAGTACCTAGTACCAGCATTACACTCAAAGAATATATTATAAGCAGGTATTAATTAAGAGTGAGGGACTTGAATCTGTTTCCTCAAATAGTCTGATTCTAGATTTTCCCAAAGAGTAAGCATCTTGCTATACCAAGTAGGATTCTAGCATTTAAAAAAAGATTTTGAGTAACAGTAGTGTTTTTACCACATACAGTACATTCTCATGTATACATAATTTGTATGAACATTAGTGACCAGGATTATATAAAACAGATGCAACCAGATATACTTCTCCTTAGACATTGTAAGGGGATTTCAAGCACATTATACACTTTTGACTTCTGTGCTGACTTTAGGACTAAATCTGAAAGTAAAGTGTGGAGATACCATTAGAAACAGATTAGGAGGCATTGAGTCTGTTTTTTATCCTACAAACGGGAATATTAGTACATTATTAGAGTGGGGATTTATAAATGTTTGTATAGTTAAACATTTGAATGGATTAAAGACTGAAGTATAAGGCCCAAACTATAAAACTCCTAGAGGAGAAAACGGGAAATGCTTCATGACACTGGATTTGGCAAGGACTTCTGAGTATAAACAAAAAGCATGGGCAACAAAACAAAGCAGGCAGATGGGGCTGTATCACACTTACAGACTTCTGCACAGCAAAGGAGTAAGTCAACAGAGTGAAAAGGCAGCGTACAGAATGGGAGAAAACATTGGCAGTTGAGTAAAGGATTAATCTCCAGAATATAGTTGTGTTATTAGTGCTAGGTAAAGCTGTTTTGTTTGATATAGCTAATATGTTTGATCCCTGTTAATATGTGAATCTGTGTTAATTGCTTTTGTTAAAATACACAATTGTAAGAAAACAATATTAACGTGGGCGCGTGGTCTTTACATTTGGGGAATAGATCCTTTGGCCACTTGTTTACCTTAAGAAATACTAGGCAAAATCCTAGTGTATTACTTACATTTGCTAATTTAGCGATAAATCAAAATTAAACTTTTCTCAGGTAGCAAAGTTGAGTTTGATTTAGCAAGATATTTCTACAGTTGGTGTTTTTTGTTTATTTTTTTTAACCATCTTTGTGCTCCTAGGCTGCTTGAATCTTGGTCCCTTTCATTTTGCTAAAGTAAATTTAATTGGCTTTCATTTGTGGAGATTACCTCTTTGACAAAATAAATAACATAGACTTTCTAGAAAAACTTTCAATTTTTTTCCTCTATAGATTACCAATTATAGATTCACTATCCCCTAAAACAGTTTCTGCCATGGTCTGCCAAGTAGCATCATACCTACCAGTGGTTGTGTCACTATGTGTGTATGCTCAGGAATTAGAAAAGGTACGGAAGAGATGATTAATTCGCTGAAACTGTTGACTTCATTTGCTCTGAGTGGGCTACATAGAGATTATTTGAGTTTATCTCAAGTTAAAGAAACCAAATAATGCATAGTATGTGGCTGTGTGGCCACTCTTTGAAACATTTTTGACTGCTTTAAATAAGTGTATTATTCTGTACTTGGCATTTGATCTTTTCTTTAAAATCTTCATTTTCAAATCAGTGCCTCTAATGTTACCTTTCCTTTATGACAGTTTTAGAGTAACAGACAGAGAACAATAGAGTTGCTGAATTTGAGGGATACAAATAGAGGCTGTAGGAGATGTTCCAACATCTTATGCTTTTCAGTCACTTTTAAGCTTACTTTTGAAATATCTTTCTCCCTCTTGAATCCTGTCTCTAATTGAGATCTTTATTCTACAGCCACAATACCAAGACAACCACCTGGCTGGATCCTCGTCTCTGTAAGAGAGCCAAAGCCCCCGAAGACTGTGAAGATGGAGGTAGAAATTCAGAAACTTTTTATCATGCTTATTCTCTTAATCCATTCCTGCCTTTCTTGCTTAGATAATGTTTTCCAAAACCATAAAGTGCATAAGCACCGAAGAGTGGACAACGCTCATAAAGAACTCACCGTAGTAATTATATAATTTTATGAGAAATTTTATTTATCTCTTCTGTGAGGGTTATAGTTTTTTGCTTTAAAAACATATGTCCTAGGGCTAAGGATATAGCTTAGTGGCATAGTACCCAACTGTCAAGCGTGAGGTTGTGAGTTCAATTCCTGGTACCTTCCCCCAAAAAAGAGTAAAAACATATGTCCTAAAAACTAACTTTTAAAGTTCTAAATAAATATTCAATATAATAGGCATATTTTCATTCACAAAATATGTGTCATGTCTGTGGAAATCTTCAAAAATATATTTAACTTAGTGTGTACTGGGATAGATGTGTTAATATCTGTGGCTATTCCTTAGCTAAAATTAGAGCAGCAATAGAAACTCAATGAAAGTCTGTAATATAGTCTTCACACACTCTGTAAAATATTAGAAAAATTATTTTTCAAAAAAGCTTAAGATAGTAATGCTAATTGTATAAGTTTTATATAGTTATAATTTTATAAGTAAGCATAGAATATATTACAAACTTTTTTTTTTTTGTCTTTTTCCTTTTTATCGTTACCGGGAATCGAACTCACGACTGCCTGCTTGCAAGGCAGGCGCTTACGCCGCTGAGCTAAATCCCCAGCCCCTCCAAACTATTTTTTGGAATTAAGAGTTGCAATTAAACAGAATTTCCACATATATTGTTCAACAGGATTATAATTTTTTTTCCCCCCTTTGGTACTAGGGATCAGACTCGACTGCACACTTGCAAGGCAGGCACTTACGCTGCTGAGCTAAATCCCCAGCCCAACGTAATTATAATATTGAGTCTTTCTAGGAACAATTAAAAATAGAATTATTTATAATTCTATTTATAATGACATCAGAAAATTATAAATCTTGATACAAATCTGTTGAAATATGTAAGCCTCAACACTGGAAACTATTTGATACCTTTGAAAGAAATTAATGAAGGCCTAAAATGGTTGACATAACATATGTATGAATTGAATGATACAATATTGTTAAAGCTATCTAGTGTCCATAAAGTGGGATCTAGATACAGTACAGTCCCAGTAAAAATTAAAATGGGATGTTTTAAAGAAAATGATAAGCCTATTCTAAAATAAATGTCTGAAAACATAAAGGCTTCAATCACCCAGATAATCTTAAAAACAAATTGAAGGACATTGGCTACCAGATTTGAAGACTTGCTATAAATCTACAGTAGTAAAAACAGCTTGGCACTCACAAAAAGATAGACAGATCAGTGAGACAGAATGCAGAGTTCAGAAATTTATGCACACATAACTGGTCACTTGATTTCTAGCCAAGGTACCAAATCAATTCAATGAGGAGAGGAAATTGTCTTTAATAAACAGACAAATTGGAACAAATTGATTTTCACATGTTAAAATGAACTTACACTATACCGCACTTCATATACAAAAGTTAGTTTTGGATGGATCAAAAACCTAAGCATAAAAGCTACAGCCATAAAACTTTTAGAAGAAAATACAGGAAAGCTTCATGACTTTGGGATTGATGAAGGTTTCTTATACAGGGTACAAAAGTATGACTATAGAAGAAAAATTGATATTTTATACTTAATACAAATTTTAAGTTTCTTTTCATTGGAAGGTACCATTAAGAAATGATGTCCTAAACTGGGCATGGTGGTGCAGTCCCGTAGTCCCAGTACTTAGGAGGATCACTCGAAATTCAAGACCAGCCTACATTACCTAGTGAGTTTTGAAAGCCAGTTAGTTAAACTGTATAGCCAAATCCTGTCGCTACAAAAAAAAAAAAAGGAAGACCAAATTGCAGATTTTTTTTTTAATTTTAAAGAGGATAAAACCAGGGAAAATAAAACCAATCAAAATAAGCCAGTATAAGTGATACAGAACTTCAAAACCTTACAAAATCAACAATGGTTACCATAATGCCTTTTGTTGTCTTCAGAATAGCTGTAGCTACCTTGAGACATAGTAAAAATTGAACAGAACAGAATAGAATAGAAACATTAAAAATAAAACAGTGCAATAAAGGACTTCAAAACAAGCTACTAGTATTCAAAATGGTTACCATAATATGTCTTGTTATCTTATAAATAGCTGCTCATGCCATCAGATTTAACATGATCAAACAAAACAAAAGAGAATAAAATGCAACCTAACAAAATAAGGAAAATGATACGGTTTCCAGGCAGGGATCACTTCCTAGTGAAGCCCTGTTTTACAACTCAGACAATCATGTTTCAAAGTGAGCAAAATATTTAAAAAGACATTTTACACATGGCCTGAAATCATATGAAAACATACTCAAAATTTATGGTCAAAATTTTTTTATTTTGTTCAGTTGGTTTGCAAAGTACGACCATAATAAGATACCACTTTACAACTACTACAATGACATCCTTTTTTAAAAAAATAACTAATGTTGATGAGGGTAGAGATTAAACAATATCCTTTATGTATTACTGTGCAGAATGAAAAATGGCATACCTGCTTTAGGAAACAGTTTGACAGCTTCCTGGAAAGTTAAATATAAATTTATCAAGAGATCTAGTAATTTCACTCTGTAGGATAGCCTCCTAATAGAAATAAAAACATACATCCACACAAAGTCTTGTATTCAAATAGTCATAGCAAGTTTATTTATAATACCCCAAAAATGAAATCAACCCAAATATTCATTAATCAGTAGGTGAATAAATAAAATGTGATACAGCTCTATAGTAGAATATTCAGCAGTAAATAGGAACAAAATATTATACTTGTATGATACTCAAAAATATTATGATAAAGCCAAGCCTGGTAGAGCACACCTGTAATCCCAGCTATTCTAGCTGCCGAGGCAGGAGAATCACAAATTTCAAACCAGTCTTGGCAATTTAGTGAGACTTTGTCTTCAAATAAAACCAAAAAGGTCTGGGGATGTAGTTCAGTGGTAGAGCACTTGTCTAGCATGTATAAGCACATAGATTCAAGGACAAAAATTATATTAAATGAAAAAGTTTGTGTTAAATGAAAGAAGCTAGACACTGAAAGCCCATATATTGTATGACTTCTTTGTTGGGAATAGGCAGATCTATAGAAACAGAAAATGAGTTAGTGATTGCCCAGGGCTAAAGATCAGGATACGGATGAACTGTTAACAGCACAAGGAACCTGACCAGCATAATATAAATATTCTACAACTAGATTGTGGTGCTGACTGTACAACTGAGTCAATTATTTAAAAATCATTGAATTATATACTTAAAACAGTTTCATTGTATGTGAACTTTGTCTCAACTAAGTTGTTTTTTTTAATGTTTTTATTAGTGCCTATTATACAAAATACTGAGTATTAATGTGGTGCTTTTTGTATATGCATATATCATTTTAATCCATCCCCTTACTTTCCCATTGGTTTTGTTGGAGTTTTTTTTTTGGAGGGGGAATTGTTTGGTTTGGTTCTATTCCTAGAATCAAACTCAGCTGCTGATCCTGATCCTCCTCCCCATTCTTTTTTTTTTTTTTTGTACTGGGGACCAAACTCAGGACCTCGCCCTTGACAAGTCCCCCCCGCCTCATTGTTCTCTTCCGTTTGATATAGGGGAATGAAACTCCTAACCTATTATATGTCTGGTATGAGTTCATGTTCTCCAAAATTGAAGAATAAATTTTAGGAACAATGAAGGTTAAGAGCAGAAAATAGTTATTGAGAGAAAGAAAGCTTCTGTCTGAAAGACAGAAGAGGTCCCAAGCCGGTTGCCAAAGACTGTCTTCTTTGGGGACTTTTATAAAGTAAAATCAGGAGGTGAGATAGCTCCAAGGTGTGGAAAAATGGGAACTGGAAAGATGGGCATGAGGTGGGGCAGAACTGTGATCAACCAATAAGTTTAATTGCTCAGGTGAAATTGATCAAATCAGGAACAAATTGGGAAGTGAGTCATGAGTTGTGTAGTACATGGACAAGCATTGATGCTTCCTATAGGGATTGAGGTGCTGATTCCTGACTTCCTAAGGGTGATAGAGAACTATTTGAAGTGTCAATCCTTAGGATGTGGTTGTATTTGCTTTGCCTTTTGTCTTGAGCTCTGGCCTACAGCAGGAGGTATTTGTCTCTTCTAAGTCTGCAAGGTGAACTTCTGCATTAGCTCCTTTGAGGGCTCAACCCTGTCTGACTGCCTATAATATTTCTTATTCACTAAGCTGCCTGTAACACTTTTACCTAAAAGCACTCTCCCAATACAGTATAAAGTTGTTTTTTTAATGACCAAAGGACTTGCATACTTCACAAAAGCAAAGATGGTTAATAAGAGTACAAATAGGTGTTTATTGTTAATTGTCAACTCTAGTGAGATAATATTCATTTTCATTAGGAGAGTTAAAGAAAACATCTTCATCCTCTAGAGGGACTAAATTCAAGCACACTGACAAAACCAGACTGGTGAGATTTTTAGAACAATTAGAACTTTATTGTTGGTTAGGGTGAAAAGTTGTGTGTGAACATTGTGGAGAACTTGTGGCAGTTTCCTGTAAGGTACTGTTTCAAAAAATGAAAACACATGTCTCTAAAAAGACTTTGTAGAAATGATCTTAGCAGTTTTAGTCATAATAGCTCAAACCTGGATGTAGTTTTTAGTTTGAGTTAATTGTTTTGTCTTAAATATTTTAATGACAAACATCCTAAATAATCATCAACAGGAGAGAAGCTAAGCAATTTATGTCACAAAATACTACTCACCAATAAAAAGAAAAACTGCCAATAACACTCATTCATCAACATAGATAAATCTCAGAAACCGATTGTTTTTTTTAAAAAAAAAAAAAGCCTGAAACAAAAAAATAGGCAGTAAATATCCATTATTTCAAACCTGAGAAGTCAAATGCTTTTTTTTTTTTCCGTAC